GGGGGGGGGGGGGGGGGGTTGGCGCAGGCGACAAACCGATGACGTTAGATACAAACAACGACAACGATGACGGCGACGAGGAAAAGATCAAGAACAGCCACAACGACAACAAAAAGCAACAACGATTCGCTACGGGTGTCCACACCGCCTCACCTGTGCTAGAGCGGGAGTCGGGCTTGACGTGGGTCACGTGCTGGACGTTAAACGGTGCTCCGATAACGGAACCCACCGATGGCTCCTCCGGCTCCTTGCCGTCATTGCGGCCCCACAACCGGAACCGTCGCTTGGCCTCTACGGTAGGAACCTGCCCGGCATGGACACGGGCAACGGACCAGCGCGCGACAAGACAAACGTAAAAAAAAAAGGACACGCGAGACGTAAAGATGTAAAAATACATGAGACAACAGGCAAGTTCAGCTCAGCGCCGGTTGGGTTTCTTATTGGGAGCACAGGGAAGCCGAGGGAAATGGAAAAAACAACGACGTACCGTGGCGTAAACCCGGTATACGCCCCGTCAAAATGCATCGTACGGTACCACCACCTAAACACCCACCCACACAACAAACCGGTACGGAGTGCGGCACCGGCGGCGGAACGGGAGACAAGCAGCGACAAAGACAGACCGTAACCAGCGGTGTATATCCTCACCGGAGCGGCGATGTGTGAATTTCTCTTGGCGTGCTTGGGGCTGACAGCCGGCGCGGCCTTCGTCTGGACCGCCGTCCCCTCGGGCAGCAGGTTAGCCCACTCTTCCGGCATTCCCTGCCCACGTTGTCGTGCAAAGGGACATAGATCGAGAGGGAAAGAGAGAGGGAGCGAGTCATCGGACCGCAGTTTTTTCGTGTGTTCTTGCTGCGGAGGACGCCGTTGTTGTTGCTGCTGCTGCTGCTGCTGCTGTTATTGCTACTCTACGTTGTGCGCTTGGGGTTCCCCGCTTGATCCTTCCCGAAGAAGCATGCCATAAACGACGACGGTATATGCTCATCGGACCTGCAGCCGTGTACACCGCGGCAGGTTGTCCTCCCATGGCCAAAAAGGTTCCGGAATGCACCTCGTAGCTCTTCAGTGAAAATATAACAAATGACTGAGGTTCCGAGGTCAATCAGCTACCAAAAATAAAGATCCAACAACAACAACACCAACACCAATACCAACACCAACAAAAACAACAACAAAATACAACGGGGGGAGATCCTCTCTCCACGCTGTATGAGGGACAAGAGGTTTTTACAAAATGGCGGTCCAAAGCACAGAAATCAGGGGACATACACGGGGCAGAAAACGCCACGAAAGGGATAATGGATATTACGAAACCATCCCAGCGGTGTGGGGGGGCGTCTGTGCCATTATTAAGTCAGCGTATTGCCAATGTTCCTGTAAATTTAAACGTGCTCACTGCCAATGTTCCTCTCAAGTTAAGCATGTGCCAATTCCGTTGTCCCTAACAAACTAAGCGTGCGTATTTCCTATGTCCCTCACCTTGAAAGTACCTGAAGCAGGGTCCCACTCGACATGCAGATGCTTCTGAACATCTGGAACATGACCACACGGAGGGGGAGGGGGGGGAGACAAGGGGAAGCGAGCACGTCGAATCAACCAACGCTTCATCACCGGAGGAGGGGGTATCTCTCTCTCTCTCTCTTTCTCTCTCTCTCTGTCTCTCTCTCCCTCTGCCCCCACCCCCGACTCCCTCCCCCAGGGAGAGAAAACACTCCCACGTGCTGCTCTCAGACCCATTTTATCCTCAAACTATTTTCAGGTGGACGCTGCTACCTCGGCGCGACTTCGAGAGACAGGAATTCCAGTGGGAGGTTGAGCAGGAAAGGAGACAACAAGTGTGCGTTTCGTGTCTCACGAACAGGAACACTGCGATGTCTATTGTAACTGGCCAATTTATCAGCATATCGCATTGTCGCGTCAATCTTTCGTGTCCTGTCTTGAGACAAAGAGCGTTGTTTGAGAAACGCACTATAATACGGCATTGCTGGTCCGTGCAACAGAACCCACACATTAGTCTTAAGCCTATTATATAAAATAACAGCTTCTTCCTCGTTGGTAGCTTCGTGTGCGACGCCACCATCGAGCACTACAATTACGCCCGCACATGAGAGAGGCTGGGGTTCTTAGTTCCCGTAAGGCTATCCTACAAATGGCCGCTATAATGGTTTTCGAATTGGCATTCTTAGCCAAGCTCATCACAACTGGAATTAAAGGTCTTAGACAGCGAGTTTGTCGAGGCTGAATTCTAGTTTGATTGCAAGGCTACGTACATACCAAAAAGTGCGAGCGCAAACAAACCGTACAGCCCTCGAAAACAGCACTGAGTGTGACAGCGAGCACTGAGGCTCGAACGCTCCCGACTTCGCTCGGGAGATGTCAGTACAGCCCAATCCTTGCCGCTCGTTTTTCGCTGTGCCGAGATACATTTCCTTCGAGAACGCCCCCTTCCCAAGCACCGTCGGTGAACTTGGGACAACGGCCTGTGGAGCAATTTTTCTGTTGGTGTGTGTGTTAACATGTCCCCGTCTTTGCTCTCGCCCTACGAAGGAGTACGATTTTGTCCGTAGTACTGGCTGGGCGACGTTGACACATTTTTTACTTCTTGCCCTTGACATTGTGGGTTACACCGCGGCAGCTCCGCGGCAGAGAAGTAATGTGTTTCGTGCTTAAAATCTCGTCAAATGCGCTTAGTCAGTCAGCTAACTGGCGGCAGCGGGAGGACGTTGGCCTTCTACATTAGCGGGACAAGACCATGCGAACCATCGTGAGAGGCGGAGAGATGGCACCTCCCCTAGAGCGATTTTCAAAGCTCGATTGCTCCGCAACCAAGAATGTGTCAACACAAAAAAATGTGGTTTTGGAAACATGCCGTCGAAGGCTTTCCGTAGATTGTATTATTATATAGGAAAAATAAAAACAAGCACACAAGAGACTACCCGTTCGAGATATACCCACAGCAGTCGAAAGGGATGGGCTTCGGAGTATTTTCAGTGAACGGAGGAAAACCGGCTGAGTACTGGATGTATATCGAGTCTGTAGATGTATGCATATAGGGCTGTCTCCTCACCCCCCTTGGTTGTGGAGCAATCGAATCGAGCTTTGAAAGTCGGCCAACGGGGGGTGCCATCTGTCCGCCTCTTCCGGAATACGTGATTTGATCGCACGGACGGTATCTTACCAGTGCATGGTATGCAGGTTGGTGAATTCGTGTGGGGGGGGTTCCTTGAATACAACGATAATAAGGTACATACCCCATCATTACCCGGGAACTTTCCCGGCCCGGGGGCTGTTCCCGTGTCTTACGGAAATTTCGTTTTTTTAGCCGTGATACAACGAAGTACCATAGTATGAAATAAACGCCCCGCCAGCTTTCCAGCACGCCGCCCCTGGGGTATCCTTTCCCGCCAAAACTGCTTACACGCCCCTGGCCCACTGGGGTTTTCAACTGATTTGTATGATGATGGTATCCCCGGAGAAAAAAAATCACAGCAGTGAAGGCTGTATGGGCGCCCCCCCCAGCTGCCCATGTATGATGCACAAGGTGGCTGCGGAAGCGAACTGACTGCTTGCTGCACACACAGGAAGCTGGGTGTTACCCTGGCTACACGGATGGGACGTGAGGGTGTTTTAAAGCTAGTCACGAGCCAGCGGCAACAGAGGGCGCAGCGGCACGCCGCCGGCATGCCACGCATCTGGAACTGGAAATCTTAAAAATCATTTACCTACATCTTCCTTCACACGATGTGTGTAAACGGAACACATTATTAAGGGCGTGCGTCGTGTTGTGTGCCGAGTTGTTTTACGGTTTTTATGTACGATCGATAAATACATGCCGCAATATTGTTTCGATTGTATCTCGCGTATACTAGGCATTCACACGCTTACATACATACACCCGTGGGCTTGATTCGAACCTGCCTTCTCCCTCACAGCTGTGGGGGACAGCGTGGGAAGGGGACGGCGGAGGCACGGACGGCATAGGAAGAACTTCACAAGGTTCACCAATTCGCACACGGCCATGCGGTGGCTTCCCTACTCGACCGTAAACGACCTCACGTTCAACAAGAACACTCCTATGATTCAGTGCTTCGGCTCGGAGAAAAAGTGCTTGTTTGTGGATGCCATCTCCCATCTGACGGCAACAAAAACAGCGACAACAAGCCTAATATAACGCCGACAGACCGCCAGGAGGGTTGAAGCAGCATACGCAGAAATCGAAGTGGTTGCCCTCCCTAACCTGTCGGTTCCGATATGAACTGAGCGCTGGTTTTGATCCCCTCCTCGTCCGATAGACCTTCATCATCGCCAAAGCTGTCCGCCATCGTGCTTGTGTGTGTGTCTCTCTCTCTCGTGCTCTCCTCTTTGCTTTGCTGGTTTGCTTGGCTTTCACCCCTGTGTGTAGGGCAGGAGGGTCCGCCATTTGTCGAGGGTACGGGTATGTTTCAATCCACGGAGCCCCGAATGTACTTTTTCAGCAGAGAGCAGAGAGCAGCTTTACTCGCGGCGGAGCTGCCCGTGCTGCTTAGGCTTCGAGACTACTGCTACAGCAGTAGACCAGTAGACCCACGACAACTCACGGGCTTAAATGACAGCTAGGCGACTGGGTACTACTCTGTGTCGCAACATGTCGGCTGCACACACCAGGTCTGCAGATGTCGTCGCCGGCAAATCATTCGTGACTTGCTCAAACGGCAGTAATATCTTCACGAAGGTGAGAGCATTATCTTTACAGGAATGCATGGTGCTGCTGTAAGTAGCTCCACCGCATCCAGTTAATGATATTGTAGAAAGACAAATGAGAGACCGTTCTCTCTCTTTGTTTGGCTGAGGAGAAGTGACTGCGTGTAGGTTGAGCGATAGAGAGGAACACACATTTGCTACATGTAGTCTAACATGTTCCTCTCTACGCTTTTGTATTCCGCCGCTTCCGATGATACCAGGGTAGTCTTTCTGTGTGTGTTTATATTATTCCTTAATACCCAAATCCCCTTGTGTCTACCTTGGGTTAGCAGTACTGCTGTAGATTGCAACAGTGTCAACACGTTATCTACAACTCTACAACACCAGTAGACCTATGTGGATAACTCGTCCTCTGTGAGCGCAGCTTGCTGGAATGTTGTAACCTCATCGGGAGGACGTCCAGTATGCAAAAATAGACAACAGCGACCATGCCACAACGAATCACACATTTTCAAGCACTGCTGTGGGAGAGAGATGCAAACCGGCGATCCGGTGATCAAGCTCAAAGGTTTAATTCCTTGTGTGGCCTGCTCTGTAACTCTTTGGTGGGTGTGGACTGTAGCACCTTTCCCTTCCAGTAACGCACTCATCGTGTCGTTCAATATACAATCCCAATCAAATCACTTGTCAACGCTCCGGTCGCCCTCTTTCCTTGGAGTGGCGCTTCCCGCACCCTCGCCAACCCGTGTCAGAATGGGTGTTATCCACACAAGTGTTTATTTGCCCTTTACACAGGCTGATACACCCAGAATTGAACACACCGCCTGTAGACTGGCGCCAGAATACGACGCGACGAACGCACGCACACACAGCAGTCTTTTCAACCGCGATGAGACTGACGCCTTGTCATTGGTCACCGGTTAGCGCGGTCGATGCCCATAAGAAAAAAACAAATACACAAGGACAAGACGCGGGGGGTAAACATACAGGCGACCTGCGCGGGGGAAGAACGCCATAAAGCGGTGTTGGCTGCCTGGTACATATCTTGACAACGAAAATCTACATTCGCCGCGATTCGCCCGCCGGGGGGGTAAAAGCTGTGCCGGTTGGGTTGTAAGCCGTCCTCCTGCTATGCTCCCTCCGCCAACATTCACACGGCAGGTCTGGGGCCAGCCATCTTCAGATCGGAAGGCGCTCGCGCTCCACGGGTACCTCGACAATTCAGGGTCCTTCGACCTGCTGGGCCCTGCTCTCGCCAAGGCATGTAGTCTATGCCTTGATCGAACGAAACAACAACAGCAGATTAATTACTGCGGTATTATGGGACATGTTTGGGGCGGAGGGTGACAGAGAATGAAGACTTCACGGCTTCGCAACGATATCGCTTGCCGCCACAATCAAGAACGACATGCGTGACCATGAAGTTCACCGACGAAGATCAGATCAGTCGGAAGAGTTTGAAGGGGAAACATCACGAGTGGGCGAGTGGGGCAATCAACTTCCAGGGCGTTCAAAATCAAGCCCCCGGGGGGGGGGTCGCCACGTGCCCTTATATCATAACGTTGAATAGGAGACTCACGCGGGCCTATTCTCCATGCGTGTCCTCATATGTTAACTTTTTGTGCTCGTTTCTCGAAAACAGTTGTCGTCCCACCCCCCCTCCCCCCCGCTCGCGCCCCCGCGTGCGTCCGTCTGCTGAAATGCCGTGCTCGGTCCTGCCCCATAGGAGGGCTTCGAGGTTGTGGCGATCGATTTTCCAGGTCACGGTCGGTCGGACCACATGAGCAAGGACGCCTGGTACCCGATCCTGGACTACCCTGAGTATGTCATCGAGGCCGCGAGGTAAAACGATCAACAAACCAGTATTTTTTTTGTGTGTTGGGGGATGATGCTGCCGACCAGAGTATCCGGTTTCAAACATTCGTTCCGGTTGCACTGACCGACGCCGTCTTTTGGTTAATCGACCGGCTGGAGCGGTTGGTGCTAGCTGGAGAAACGCGGGAACACAACCTATACATGATATCCTAGATATGGCTAGATATTTAGACAGATGGGAACCATAGCTTCGGGCCGGCGACCGACACAACGCACTCGAAGGCTTGTCATGCACCTGAGGGCACTACTTGCAGCAGTTTGCTCGTACTGGGAACAATGAATGGCCATTCCCCGCGCCCTTGAACAGTCTTCGCTAAGATCCTTTTCTGTTCAGCTTCCGTTGCGGCACGCTCCGGGATGCGCATCCGTTCGTTGGCGCGATTGGTGTATTGAGTGCCTGGAGAAGGACAGGGGGAAAAAACGTCCTCTTGCAGGTTTAGTTTGCGTTCTTCTTGTCGCTGTTGCCCGGTGTCCGCCGCTACCCAGCACCAAAGTAATTGAATCGTTTGGCCAAGGCTTCAGCATCCTCCCGTCGTTCATCAAGCGAATCTTATATTTGTTTGTCCCCTTCTTTCATTCTATCTATGACCGTCGCTCGTAGTCCCTACCCAATCTTACGGCGTTGCCTCTCCTCAAGCGAAGGGCTCTGATCCGGCATCAAGCGGAATGCATCCCCCTGCTGTGCATACCATAGGGTGCATGCCTCAAGATGATGCCGTACGACTCTGACCAACCACCCGACCCCTTGGGTCTGCCGCCGAGGTCGGAGTCATCACCGTTTCCTATGTTGCTGCCGTTTTCCATCGTCGTTGTTGGTGTTGGTGTTTATTGCTGCCGTCACGCTGAAGAGCCAGTCTGGCCTCTGTTCGGCCTTTGTTTCCTCTCCAAGAGTGGTAGAAACCTACAAGGTGGGACCCCCCCCTTCCCTCTCCCGCCACAGTAAAAAGGGGGAAGGCCGGGGGGGGGGGATTTCTTACCTTTTTCCTCCGCTCTCCAACAAGAAGGACCACAGAGTCACTCGAACGTAAATCGGTAAGCGCCGGCTTGGCTTCAGCAAGGTGCGACTACGCCCCCGTGCCAAGAAGGGGATCCAAAATTTTAACCCTTTTTGAGTGGATGGTGCAGGTAAGAGGGAGGAGTGGCTCACGGCGATGCTTTTTGGACAAACTAGAGCATGTCATCGTGATAGGAAGGCGGTTTTCCTCTACAGGGCGTTATTGCGGGAGAGGCGGTACATGTTACCGTTCGTGTTCCCGACGCGTGTAACGTGCCGACAACGTCTCCAACGACAAGCTCTCGTTTCCCTCGCCGGCCGGCACCGTCGCCGCCGCTGCTGCTGTCGTTTCGAATTTTTCCGGCGTTGTTCGTGGCTCTTTCTTCGTGCCGTCTCAAGATCACTGGGGTGGGAAAAGTTTTCCATGGTGGGGCACTCGATGGGGGGAGCGGTGGCGTCGCTGGTAGCGGCGAGCTTTCCCGAGATGGTGGAGCGGTGCGTCTTTCTCGACATCCTCGGCCCGTTCGCCTCCAGAACCGGAACATCCCCCAAGCTCCTGCGCGCGAGCGTCGCTTCCCGGAGTGAGCTACAGTACAGTCGTGTCTCCGATATTAGAGGGGAGATACCTTGTAACAGGGGCCTCCGATAAAAGAGGGTAGAAACCGGTTGTCACAGACTCGACCCACTGTAGAATAGTTTAGTGCCCTCTGTTCCCGGTTTAAGAGGGTGCTCCGATATTGGAGGGTCGAGGGCCTTTGTCACACCACCCTCTGATATCGGAGACATGACTGTAGCTCCCTTCTTCTGCTGCTGCTGCTGCTGCTGCTGCTGTCTGCTGTTGTCGCCAAATAGTACTCTCTTTGTTTTGCTCTCGCAACCCCTTTCGGACCTCCTTTTCAAGTGATGCGATCCCATGTATGTGGTACGACCAATAAGAAGGTAGTTTAGTCGTCCCGGCTTTCGTCGGGGGGGGGGGGCAAGGTGCTTCATGCTCACACCTGGAGATAGTGCCTGGAGGAGCGCCCACGACTTCAAGACTTGGATTACTTCTTGTTTACAACAGCCAGCTCGCGTTTTGTGTGCTGCGACTCGACCACAGCATGGTTTCGCGAGCCTTTTATCTGGTTTGCTTGAAGTATGCCGTGGGTTGCTGACGAATGTTTTCTATTGCGTCGCTCAGTAAACTGGCATCTAATGGGCGACTGGTCAATGTTTTATCAGTCTTTGCGAAGGAAACCGCGAGACAGCAGTAGCAGCCTCCGCCGGTGTGTGGGGCGGGTAGATTTTCAACAGGAAGCAGCATCGGTCCTACGTTTCTAGGGTGCCTGGAGCTTACAACATGAAAAGCCGTCGCCCCCGTTGTTCATTGCTAGGGTTCTTGCAGACTAAAACATGACGAAACCCCGCTTTTACGTTGTTTCTTGGCTAGGGTCCCTGCAGCTTGAAAACATGACATAAACATGCCACTTGTATCGTTGCTAGGGGCGCTGGTCGACAAGGAGCCCAAGGTGTACAAGTCCTTCGACGAGGCGGTCCGAACCAGGCTCAAGGCTGTGACCATGTGGGGAGGTGCGACAAACACCAGCGCCGTTGCCTCGCCAGACAGATGTGATTGGCATTGGGTTAGCTACCATAGCAAACTGCAGCCACAGAAGATGATACCGTTCGCCGTCGGCACTCGTGAAACGCGTGTGCCATGATTTTTCACGTTCGGCCTGGGTAAAAGTTACCCCAACTATGCACAATGTGGCAGCAAGCCTCGCTCCCGAGACTGGTTTTAGCGGATAAACGCTCTGAGGATGAGGTGCCTCATCAAAGGGTATTGGGTTGTGACTTTGGACCATCGTTTGCGGGAAACTTGAAGACAACTGCCCTCCAAGTTCGTCATGAGTAGTTCTCAAGACCGCCGCTGATGCCGCCCGGCTGCCGCTGCTGCCGCTTGCCCTACATAGAGCGTGCCACTTCCGCTGTGTGGTCGTATTGTTGGGGCTCAAAACCGGTTTCCGTTGTCATTCTTTCGCTACGAAATGCGTACCCCGCTCGCGACATCGTTTTTTGTTGGCAGAGGGGCAGACAATGAGCTGGAATGGCGCGGTCCGTTTGGTGGCGGGAGCAACGAAACCGGGAGAAGGGGGCGACCAGGTCCAGTTCACGAACGATGTCAGGTACGAGTGGTGCTCTGTGTTCGCATCGGGCATCTTCTCTGCGTCGGTGGTCGTCTGTTTTGTTTTTCCGACCCTATCTGGGATTGTTATTGTTTGCCTCCCTCTCTCCCTCTCTCTACCTCCGCTCGCACCCTTTCATTTTCCCCCCTTCCCCCTCGTCGTAGGTCGTAGATGAGAGAGCAAATATCGCTGCATCGCGCCTGTTCTAAGGAATTGCACAAGGCACATGCACCTTCAGGAGAGTGGTCAATTGCCGGGAAATTGTTCTATCACAACACCACCTGTGGAGTACAGTTGATATGTAGAACAGGCCGAGGAGACCCCGAGAGATGGAACTATTGTTATGCGGTCGTTGCTCTCGATCTGGAGGTGGTAGCCGTGCCGGAGGTCCACACGCTTTGTTTCTCGCCCTGCGACAGACCGTTGTGGTGATGGCCGAGTCTTCGTTGTCGTCAGCCCGTTTAGATGCCCACGAAAGAAACACACACGCACACCTCACCACGTGGTCATCAACACCGCGTTTCTCCTTTTTTTCTGTTTTTTCGTGAGAGACTGCTGTCGTACCTTTGTCTTGTGAGCTGGTTGGCCAAATCGATGCTACGGCAGCAGTTGAGAGACACACCAACAACCTTCGGTAACGTACCCCAGTGTGCCCGTCAAATGACTGCGAAAAAGAAAGACAATCCGTTCCGGTTCCGAGATGCGTAAGGCGACGTACTCCTCACAGCAGCAACTGGTATTGATTCCAGGTTACGAAACTCGTCGCCCAGCTACCTGACGGAGGAGTCGGTGCTGACGTACCTTAAGGCGATCGAGAGCGAGTGCTTGATGATCAGGGGCGAGACGGGAATGCTGGCCAACGCCGACGGCGTGGCGGAGTTCGTGGCGAGAAAGGAGGCCTGTGGGGAGCGCTTACGGGACCTCGTGCTTCCCGGAAGCCATCACTTGCACGTGAGTCGGCGATCGGTGTATTCTTGGCGTTTGTGGAACGTTGACCGCAGTTGGAAAGCTGCCGAGTTGGTACGAGTGAGCGAGGGGTTGTGGTGTTTGTCGACAGCCAGCAGGACCTTATCGTGCACCTAAACGTGTTGGTGGTGTGTGCTTCTATGGCAACACTGCTACATTGTTTTTGTTATTTTTGTTGCCTCCGCATTCGAGAAACGCAATGATTCGATACTTCCACGACACCCGCAATGGTCTGGAATGTCTCCACGATCGATCACAGGCTAGTTCAAACATGACACAAGTCACTCCCAACATTCCGCCGTGTGGTGTGTGCCAATCCAATCCCCTTGTCCGCCCCACGTCTCCCTCGTTTCGTTTTCTTGGTTGCCAGTTGGACGACGAGACTGCGCCCTTGGTTGCTTCGCACACGGCGGCGTTTCTTCACGGGCGAGAAGGTTCCCGAGAAGGTTCCCGCACTCATCCCAGATTATGAAAAGAAAATCGTCCTGGTGGCAATGATCATCGGGGAAGGGTGTTTGTGTTTGCTTGCCTTGAGAAAGTCGTTTCTTCGACATACCTGGGGTGTGAGACGAAGCACCGTTCGTCGTACCACTCGTTGTAGAAGCGATAAGGTGTCAGCTTCTTCGCTTTATCCGGTCGCGTTGCCTCCCCCCCCCCCCCCCCCACACGCTCCCTTGGCAGGGACAAGCATGCAAAGAATTGGTGTATTCTTGAAGGCCGCCAGGAGTTAGTGATGGGGCCGGTGTTGTTTTGGGGTGTTGATGGAGCTCGAGAGCTCCCAGGCGTTGAGCTGCTTGGACTGGAGGTCGTTGTCTGTTTGTTGGAGTATGTGGCCACTATACACCCGCGGCTGAATAAAGCCGGGGTGGTAGGCGATTGGCCTGTACCTTCCCACCCGTGTCATTGCTTGTTTTGTGGTCGTGTGCACCTCTTGTGGTCTACCGTCTTGTTGTTTGGTTGCGAACCCGGGCATATGCGTTTCCTAGCTTTTTAGAGTTATCCTGGGCTTGCTTCGGTTCCCTTCCTCTGTCGCCATTTTTTCTGTCCTCTTGTTGCTTTAGGCGACGTTTTGGTATAGTCTACATTACGAAGGAATAAAAAAAAATAGGGCACCTCTCGTAACATCTTCGCGACGGGTGCAATAATTTCTTGACACGACAGAAATCCTCTGTACAGCGGGTTTACATCCAATTTGCAACGTCAGCATGACCCTGCTCCACGTAGCAGGCCAGGCTCAAACGAAAGCAGAAACAAACACGGGCGCGCCCCAGTATGACCACCTCAAGAAGAGTTCATCCCTCAGGCGTAGATGAATCTCATCACCCCGAATAAATACCGCCCTAAACTGCCCCGAGCAGTGCGTCCCCGGTCCCTCACGACGGTAGTCCTCGTTGTGCTGCGGTGACAGAAAAAGCTCCCGTCCTCCTAAAGAACACCAGCCTGGGTTTGGACTGCCGGCTTGATTGCCCCGCAACTGACAGGGCTCCAGCGCCGGTGTCTCCGGAACAATCTAGACGAGCCTTTTTCCCACGATGCTGCCTTCAATTGAAGGGGAAAAATATGACGTGTAGACCATGTCTGTCCTTTTGGTGGAGAACGCCGTAGACTATCTAAATCCCATCCCGGCAGCGGGCAACGGGGGGTCATTTCGCCCCGGCGGTCTTCTTGCCGTATGTGTCTTCAGTACTCTTCCATCACGATGTCCTCCTCCGTGCTGAGCACCTTGGTCATGCTCTTCGCCCACACCTCCTTGAGCCTGTGGACCATAATCCCTGAGGTGACCGCGAGGGCCAGCCCGCCGACTCCGATCATGAACATGGAGAACCCGACCTGTGCGAGCCCTCCCAGCGCCGTGCCGCACATCGCGCCCTCGAAGTTCCGGTAATGCGAATCGACGAAGGAGCACCGAGACGCGCACCGCGCCGCCCAGGAGTCCGAGGACGCGTTTGCCAGCGCCCCCTGCCCCGAAAACGCCGCGGTTTCCGCTTCCAGGGGCGGGGTGAGTAGGCTCGCCAGGTCGGCGCGGAGGGCCGTAACGTTTTCGGCGAAGGACCTGAAGTAGGCCAGGAGGGTGTCGGGCGCGCCGGTGTAGCCGTCGCTCGTGCAAGAGCAGGGTGACAGGGAGAACGTCGAAGAGGAGGAGGACGACGAGGACAGTAGTGAAGACGACGACGACGACGAGGAATTTGAGCACTCTACGTTCGACGATGTCGTTATGCATGTTAGGTCGTCCTGCATCTGATCTCGGTAGGCCCGCTCGCGCGCCGCAAGGTCCCACGCGGAGAGGAGGTCGCCGTTGATCGAGGAACAGTCCGACGAGTTGAACACCCGGGACATGTAGTCCAAGGCCGTTTCGTCTGGGGATGGACCAGCCGACGATGGAGTGCGGCATTGGGCGGGGCGGGTGGAGAGGGGGTCAAGGGGCGACGTGAGGGCTGAACATGCTTTGATGTAAAGTTGTGGCAGGGTATCGCGTGGGTCGTCGGTTGATGGTGGAATAGTTTGTGGCTACAAACTAACAGTGCTCCGTTCGGTCTGCTGCAAGTGTTGGAGACGAGGACGGTGGCGGGCCAACGATCGTGGTATGGGGGGGCGAGGCAGGCATACTTGCAGCGTGGACAAACCCTTGCTGTTCGTGTTGTTCATAAACATGTAATTTATTTCTGTTTTCAATATATGCTCCGTCGGATGCGACACAAACGTCCACACAAAACCTTGTGTGCGACGCCGCCCGCCAAGAGCTGAAACAAAAAACGCCCCCACCGCGCTCGCCCCACGTGATATACAGAGTGCTGCGCTGCGATCGATCCCCCTACGGAATAAAACCCGCATGGTACGTGTACCTCCTTGCCGTCCGAAGCTCTGGCGCGTCCCGCCGGCCTGCCACGGAGTTAGTGGCGCGTCTACCGTCGTCAGATTGCCGGCCGAATCGTAGCTGCTGCTGCTGTTGCTGCTGCTGCTGCTGTTACCCACGCCGCCTCCATCTTCGCCGTCGCTTGTAGTAGCACCAGTCGTCACCGTTTCTGCTGCCGTCGAAACCGTCGGAAGCGCGAGCCACGGCCGCCCGAGGTATGCGGTGGCCTCCTCGCCTTCGAAGGTGACGTTGTACGGGCAGTCCGGTTCCAAGAGGAGAGAGCCGTTGACCTCGGCGTTGGTGTAGAAGTCGAGGAGGGAGACGGCGACGGCCGTGGCGTTGAGGGAGTAGACGAAGTCGGAGATGGCGGAGATCGCCGTCTCCACGTCCGTCTCCGCGAAGGTCGCGTTCAGGGCGCCCACCTATCGATTGGGTGGGTTTGTTGGTTTTCAGGGGGAATTGAGCCACGAGCGATTATCTCCAGGCATCGTTTTGAGGGTAGGGGTAGGGGGGGAGGAGGGCCGTGTGACCAAGATAGACAGAAGGAGGGGATCTACCCTGTCAGCTGAAGGGCGAGGTGTGAGATATTAGCACCAAAAAACCTCAAGTCAAGCGAGAGCCAACATTGACTCGGAAAATTTCAAAACAACGATCGTACGTGTTCACTCACTCACTGAGGTGGGTATACTTCAAGTCACCTCTTCTGCGGTGCCAGGATACGACTCGAAGAACCCCAAAGCATCCGTGATGTTAAACTCTTCCGTCACGGCGTTTCCACGGAGGCATCCATCGAGAACCTTCGGGGATACGTTACGGCGCAGGAGACAGCGGCAAGGAGTTGAACTCTCCAACTCGACCACACGTCACTTGATGGTATTCATTCGTAAGAGGTGTGGGATCGTCGTGTGAAGAGCAAACACGAGAGGCAGGCCAGATCCCAAGGAGAGGAGCAATAGGGCCGCCATCCCCTCGCTCTCCACAGCACTTACCGACCGGTACACCTTACCACCTACCACGCTTCTGTTCAGGTTATGACGGCCGGAGCCTAGTACACTCCCAGACAACGCACCGCCGCGCTTAGACCGTCCAACCCGGCGGTCTCCCAGCCTCTAGTGGCGGCTAGGTTCAAGAACTGACAGCCGTCCGACCACGCGACGGCGCCCACGATGACCAGGGACGACAGGATGAACGCCGCCCAGGTGGTCGTGAACGTCACGGCGCAGGTCAGGCGCAGCAGATTTATGCCTGTCGCAAACATGGGTTGGTGGTCAGCATATTGTACTATTTCATCAGTGAGGCGAGGAAACGCGAACACCAGGACAGCGAGGAGGGGAAAACGACAAGGACGATGGTGGTTACGAAGACGACAGCAGCAGACGGCAGCAGCAGTTGTAGCAGCTAAAACAGCACCGCCAGCCACAAGATCAACGACGACCGAAGCTATTGTTAGATACGCGCGGCGTAACGAGTGGGCGCCACAAGCGATATCTTACATGGCGAGCAGGACTTGCCCTTGGCGAGTCCTGCGGCGACTCCGAGCAGCCCCACCGCCCCGGAAATTCCGACCGCGGCCACCAGCCCCTGCGCAACAAAGAGAACGGTTTTTGACATAAGTCTCAAGTGGTGTCCTGACGTACTGTATCGCAAGACCTATTCTTGATTGAACGATGATGGTTTATTGGCAACCGTAGGTGGTAACAATGTGCCCCGTGGAGCAACGAACGGCCAACGATTTGGATACGCGGACTCTTGAAAACGGAAGGCTCGAAATCTTTGCTATCCCCTCACGTTCTGGCCACAAGCAAGGCCGCTAGAGAAGGATGGACTTCAAAAGTTGGTGGAAAAGTACTTGACGTGCTACTACTAAGGATGCTCATCGATTCATAATGTCGTATGAGCTGCAACATTTCCAACGCCAAAGGCTGGAGTTCACGGGAGAGCGACGAAATAAACCCTTGAGTGATTCGCTGTTTTCAACCACATGTTGATTTTTTTTCGTTTTGCGGACGGCAGAAATGAGCTGACGGGCAACCCGCGCGCACCTGTACGCCCGCTGTCCCCACCCCGGCGTACTCGTCCGACCACCTCCGAAAGTAGGCGAAACGGTCGCGGTTCTCGAGAGCCGTTTCATTCGCAAGGGCCAAGGCGGCGATCACGTTGAGGCTCTGCCCTTCCATTCTGTCTGTCATTTCCAGGAAGTCTTCCTGCACACAGCAGGAGCAGTAAGTAGTAATGCGTTGATGATGGGAGGAGCTTACGTTTTGGTACTTTTGCTACGGTATATCTCCAAACGAATTGCTGAAAACTTCCAACCATCCCGAGTGGTTTGTTGAGCCCTGAGAAGCGGTTGTCGTGCGAAGGTGAGACTGTTTGCTGTGCTTGTTTGAGGGCAGACTGTCGTGTATGATCTTAAGGCTTGAAATACGGTGGAAAAGAAATTTCATCTCGTGCTGCCAGGTCTGGTTGGATGATTGGACTCCATACAACCCACGCTTTGTTCGAGGAAATTTGGACCCACGCTGTCTCAGCCTGCATCGGCGTGTTTTCTTGTAACGTCACGACACTGTTGAGGCTAGTCTCAAACGTGCTCATTCTACAGGGCCGAAGGGCACGACTGCAAGAAGTTGGTGATGAAATCTAGGCAGATTGACAAAAGATTAACTTTGAAGTAGCGATATGGGACAACATCGGAGGGCCGCACCTCTCTCACCCCCTCCCAATAACTATTAGACTAACCGTGTACCGTAACATTCTTGCCTGGAGCATCTCCAAGGCCGTGTAAACGTCATCGACAGCTTCCGACATGAAGTCGGCGCTGGCGATCTCTACCCTTTCCGCAAGCACGTCAAACTCAGCCTCTCGACCTAAAAAATGATCTCTGTTCGTCCGAAAGAGACAACAACAACCGTGTCAACCACGACACACAACACCGTCACCAGCAGCAGCAGCAGTAGCAGTAGCAGCAGCAGCAGCAGCAGCAGCAACAACAACAACAAACAACCGAACGTAGATCAGCAGGCAACAAAAGGACGCGTCGGGTATTGATTAGGCGAGCCTCATTATGAATTTACGCACATTCGAATGGAACAGACGAGGCTACTTATTTCGCGTACAAGCGGATCAGAGAAACAAACGCCTATTTGAGGGGACGATTTTTGCAGAAACAAGTACTTCGCTGCTGACATGGGTTGCAGTGGATGGGCAACATACCACTTTTCGTGCACGTAGGGAGAAGCAAGAACAGAGTGCATCTAGCCATGTACCGTAACCCTATCGCTAACCCTAGGAAGTCAGTTTGTTCTTCTGTTTCCCTGCCTGTGCGCACTATCGAACGAGTCGAGCCTGAGCATCATGCCCGACTCCAGCTGGCCGATCCATTCGTCCGCGCTCGACAGCAGCCGCTGGACCTCCTCAGCGGAGGCGTTGAGAGAGCCGACGAAACTCGCCAGGGGCAAGGACACCGAATGGGCGAGGTCGTTGACGCCTTCGGCTGCCTCGTCCATGGCTGCGTCCATTCACCGGCCATTCATCATTGGAGGCGCATTGAAAAGGCAAAGGTGAGGATTGAATGATTTGTACGGAGATGCTGCTACATGCGAAGAAGAGCTCTCTTCGGTGTAGCCCCCCCAGATCGGAGCTCATGTCAAGGAGACGAGCAACATCTCGCGGTAGGGAGAAACTGCCAACGATGGTTAAGACGACGAGTAGGCACTCGCAAGGTCACTCTGCCAAAGACAGTGGGCAAGAAATATGCAACGTCTTTGGTTTATTTTTGTTTTTAATATTTCTTGTCGCAACGAACACGCTTCACGGCGTACTCTAAAGGGCGTGTTTCATCGTGCCTATGCCGTACTTTACAGGGGCGGCGTCAAGCATAGTAGAGATCACCCTCTGACCGCGGACAGAAACATGGCGCAGGGCCTGTGTGACGGCGCAACTTCAGCCTACGCAGACAGCAGTGGACGGTGTGTGTTTGAGTGAGTCACGCATGCTTGCTGCTGTACCCACACCGTGTGTACAGACGGACTAGAGGGGGTACAGCGGTAGTGACAGCATTAAACCGTGCGGTAGCTATTCGTGTGGAGACGGCAGGGCAACGAATATCTTGGCGACACCAGCCCTTACTTGTAAACATGAGATCCAGTCCCGAGCTGATGTAGCTGTTCCCTTGCAACCCCAGCAGTGCCGCCACAACAACGGTCACAAGGCCACAGAAAAACACAGCCGCCGGGACCTTCTGTTCCAGGTCGGTGTACCCCGTGCGGTCTCGCTGCAGGTCGCTATCGCACACGCACTTGTTGTAAATGCCCCTTTTGTTTGTTACGACAAAACGTGTTCCATGAACGAGGAGAACCAACTGTGAGACAGACGCCTGAAACATCACGTATGGTAGACTACATAAATATCAGCCCTGCGTTACAAGCGATTGTGACAACCACCACTATGGAAAGTGCGCAAGCGCATGGGATTACATATGGTGGTAGAACGTATTTTACCAAGGTGGTCTAGAGGATAAAACACACACATGTTTCCACCTTCTCACGGCAAACTTGGCGCATCCCGCAAACACGCCCACCGCCAAGACGAACCCCAGGGTTCCGTAAGATAGCATTACGGACTGCATGTAGTCTCGGGCAGCGCGATCGTTGGCCTGGTACTGCACATCGGTATACCGACGTCCTCGTGTCAGGTACTCCCGAGGCTCCTCCCAGTAGCAGTTCGCAACCCGCTCGCATAGGCCGGTCGCGTATGTATCTTGGTCGCCATCGAGCGTCTGCACACAGACGCCGTACTCGTCTTTCGCGGCCGTGGCGTTCTGACTGGTCACGTATCTGTGTGTGCGGTGGTGAGGGTTGGAGGGGGGGCGGGTTGGGAAGGATGGACGGGTTCGCTGGAGGTGGTTCGAGAGAACGACGTTGATGTTCGTCCCGTTTGGGGAGACCTGGTCGCTTTCTTTCCGCCGACACTACAATGTTATCAAACATTCTCACTAGAGGCAACCCGAAAAAGGGTGTCCTGGTGCGGTGCTGGAGATAAATTAATAACATAATTAATTGATTAATTAATTGATTAATTAATTGAAGGCTACATACCGGTGGTGCACGCCTCGCTCCTCCTCTTCACAGTACTCGACAAGCAGGTTCGTCAGGGTGTCTTCGTACCAGGTGCCCTCCTGTCCGCTCGCCCGCCTATTACCTGTCAATATCCTGGCTATACCCAGGCCAAGCGATAGCGTCGTTGTGTTGTCGAAGGCTTCCACGACTTCCTCGTCAGATATATTGTGTGCGGCGCAATCGTACTGGAGGTTGTTGGACGCCGCCAGCATTCTGGCTGTCGGCGCCTGCCGCCGTGTGTCCGGCGTCGATCCCCGCTCTGGTGTGTACAGGAGTACTCCATCCGCTACGGCCGTCGCTAACGCCGATGAAGTGACCACCAGAAGCATCGCCGTGGTGGTCACGCCAAGGTACCCGAACCGCAGCATTGCCGCAACCAGCAAGTGACATGTGGCTTTGTTCCACCGGCCACGCTTGCTTCGGCCGTCGAGAAGATATTTACTCGGTTGAACGCGCACAGAGTACGTGCCGTCCCGCTTTGCAACGAGCCGAGTATTCCTTAAACGCGTAAGGAAGATTGCTACTACGACCGGACGTCCGCCAGTCTTCTGTTAACACCCTCCTACAGAGGTGCTGCACCAACTCTTCTCGCGCCTCGCGCGCATACGGCGCATGATGTAGCATGTACAGAGTCAGTCAGAGGCGGCATCCCTCCATATTTTATGGAACTCCCGAGCGTTTCAAATTTCAAATTTTCTCTCCACTGCAAGATACAGAACACCACGGCTGATCGTCGCGCCTTCGCCTTGTAGTCCAGACACTCGCCATGACCGCGGGCAGGAGATTGAGGCCCCCTAGCCTAATCGACAAGGCGATTTCGCTTGTGAAAGGGTTCGATCCCAAGAAACAGACGGTAGACTCGTACGCCGACGAGGCCACTCAGACGGGAGAGTCTCATGGCGACGCGATCTTCCTCAAGCAGGTACGGCAATGAACGACACGCAGGGTAGCGTATGTATTTGTGCACTCCACAACCTTTGGTGTTTCGTCTTACCTTCGAAGTGACGACCTTGTCTGGGTGCAAAAGGGGTGCTGGTGTGCCGCACCCGGTATTGCCGTAGGGACCCATTCAAAACTGGTTGTGTGTCTGCATACATGTAGTAGATTGTCGTTTGCCTAGGCCTACAGGCCGTAAATAGGTACCACCTGGTACGCACATACAGGATACATACAGCAGTAGGCATTAAGGGTGCTGCATGTGAGTTGACAGTTCCACCAGCCACTAAGTTTAACGTACCTACTTCATTATTATAGGGCTCGAGATGACGGGTTGGTTCATTTCCTAGACTTCGCGAGGACGTGTTGTGCGATGTACGCTGCTGTGGGTGGTCTCCAGCAAACGGACTAAAATGTACAGCAGAAGACTATAGTGACCAGGTAGACTACGTTCTGAACGCGCTGTTGTATTGCTGTCTTCACCATGTTCTGCACACACTGAGTTCATGGACAATCCTGCTAATAATCCCACACAGCTGAAGGCCGGTATGGCTTAGCGCCACCTCACTCAGAGCAAAAGTTGTCCATATCGGCATCCTACTCGAGCGAGTACACCCCGCAACATTCGATCACCCGTTTCCCCCTAAGGTTCTCTACGGCTGCGTCCGCTACAAGGAGGCCTTGCGCGTGTTCCTCAAGCACTTCTACAACGACATGGCTAGCAGCGTCTTGCGCAACGACTTCACTCTGTACATGGTGCTCGGGTACCTCCTATTGTTCCGTCTCGACGAGCTCGGGTTCGGCGAGTTCAGGCGTCTCACTAGCTCCGAAGACCCCACAAAAATGACGCAGCTGCTCGGCTATCTTACCGATTGGGAGCGTGTCGAGGTATCTGTCTTGTTCCCTAGTCCCAAATGACATACCAGATTCATCTACAAAGGCTGTTGAAACACAAAAGAGGATTTGCAGATACCGACGTCGAGGTAATGTTTCTCTGGCGAGCAGTATCACGCGAACACACGCATTCAACGCGGCCGTCTCGAGCCACCGTGAGCAAAACGCCGTGAGATGTGTACACCGCTGTGACACGTGCTCATCTTGTCCGTGCATCGCTTCTCCTCGGGGTTGGCGAACCTTGGCTTGACTCGCTGCCGGGACAGGGCCAGTTGACCCAAGACTGGCTGGCCGTCTTCGACCTCAACTACATCAACGACAAAATGGTGGGAGGGCTTCGTCGGGCGAGCGGGAAGATTGAGGACTACTGCAAGAAACTGTCCGTCAAGGCCTTCAGCCTTTCTCAGGTGTGTGTGGTCTTCTTGAAACAAACGTTTTGCGTTTGTAGTGAAGTCGTTTCCGTCGCAAGTTGCCTTGCGGAGGTCCTGGAGCCTCTAACAAACGACACCGTCAATGTTGGTTTTTTTCGGCCACATGACGAGAAGACGGAGAAATAGTCGGTTCAGCCTCTTCTTGCGCCTGTCGCTCGGGTTCGTGCGTGCTGGGAAACGTTGAGCAAATGCAAGAGCCTTTACTTCGAGCGGGAACTGAATTCGAGACGATGCCGTTGTTAAGACTGCGTGTTGTCGACTGCCCTAGACACGGGTTGTGCCGGTGTTCATTCACCGGTAGTACGTCCGCTCGACCATGTGGACTCGCCAGCGAGCGACGGCATCAACAGGCCTTGGCAAGCACAGCGTGCGTGCGTGATTGAGGCACGTTTAATTGTCGTCCTCCAGCACTTTCTCGGAAGGCAAACGTGCTTGTGGTCAAGCCATGTTGACTTCCACAATAGGAGAAGAGCAAACCAAGAGAACGTTCTCAGCCATAGAACCCCGGGGGGGGAGGGGGGGGCTCCTAAACGTTTGTATGGTTCCCCTTCGAACATGCTTCTTCTGTTTCCCAGGCTCGCGAGGAGGCGAAAGCCAAAATGGGCCTTGCCGAGGTGGCGGAGAAGTCTTTGACTGTTCCCCGACCCTTCAACCTAACCAAGCCTAGCCTGCGGAAGGTCCCGGAACCTATGAAGATTGAGCAGGTGAGCGAAAAGAGCGATTGTTAAGACTTTCCAGTTACTCAGGTTTGACTGAAGACACACCCTCACGACCATTGTGTTGGGGTGCTGTGGACCCTCGCACAACCTGCAAGTACCTGTTGTGAACCTCGTAGGTGTTTGCTGAGGAGGGAGTTTCTCTTTGGACGGGAGGGGAGGGAGTGGGGGAGCAGGAGGAGGAGTTGCAACATGCAACATACTTTTCGAGGACTCACAGTAGTCATCTGACTGTTGCTCATTGTCCCACGCAGCTTGAGCGGCGGTTGAGTATCGTAATCCCCTTCTCACCCCCACCAATGTCCGCCCTCTGAGGTCTTCTCGATCATGCTTCCCCTCCTCTGCCTCCTTTTTTCTCTTCAGTGCCTTCCTGCCTCAATGACGAGCTCCTCCGTCCATCACCTGTAAACGGGAAAAAATTCCGCGCCCATCCATACACAACCTCGACACCGCCCGTTTACCCCCATCCTCCCCTACCTCTCTCCTTACCGCTGATGAACCCCATACATTAACTTCACCCTCCCGCAAAACAAAACTCGACAACAACGACAAAAAAAAACAAGGCCGTTCTTGTTGGCCCGAGCACCGACCGCTTGTACCGGACGAATCTCGCCGAGGTAGAGTCGGGCAAGAAGGAGCGGCTGGAAGAGCTGAGGCGGCAGACCGTTGCCAAGTACAAGGAGATGGAGGAGGCCGGGAAGGGGATGTTCCGTCTCCACGAGACGAGGAACACCCTCGACGCGCTCAGGGACGAGGTGACGACTGAAACAAACAAATAATTTCTTGTCGTTGCAGTGGAGACAATACATTGACAAGATCAGGATGTGACTCGTAGCACTGCTTGACCATCTCCTGCTCGTGTATTTGAACGAAAAGAGGCACTTGTGACAGAGGAAACGATCCTCTTGTGGCCCAGGATCCCAAGGTCTTCGTTCTAGACGGCGAACCCGGCGTATAGGGCAACATAAATTGCGAACGACGGTATGGAGGAGGACGACAAAAACAGCTCTGAGACTACATAGTTCAAATAGATACACTGCGAACACCGCCACAGAACATCTCGTAGATAGCGTCAGGCGACAAATCTGGGACAAATTGGAGATTTACCACCGTGGTGTCACCCTATAATAGAGCCAGTCAACCCTACATCTTCGTGCACATGCAGCTCTGAGATGCGGCCCGTGCTCTTGTTCCCTGCGTCTTGTTGCCCCCTCCTCTCTCGCTAGAGGTTGAGCCTGGTGTTTAACGCAAGACATAGCAACAGCAAAGGAAAGAAGAAACATGAAAATGCCTCCTTTTTTCAGTTATACATTAGCCTCCTTTTTTTGGTGTCTTGTTTGGCGCGTGAAAATAACGAACACAAGAAAAGGCTGAGAAAAAAATCGTGGAGGAACTCCAGTTCGACAAGCGCTTCCCGACGGACGTGCCCAAGTACCCCGAGGAAGGCTCCCAGGTGCGACTCAATGCGGCCGCTATCCTGAGGGAGGACGCGCTGCTCAAGCGGAAGCAGGGCCAGGATGCGAAACTTATCAAGGTGAAATGCTTGAACGTGTTGAAGGGGGGGGAGGGGGGGGAGGGGGGGGGGTACTCATAGTCGTGCATGCCGTAGTCGTTAGACCATTGACCTCGCATCCCTACAAAGCCGGGACGGAGCACGCCGGGTTCTCACCGGACCAGGCTCTCACATCACCAAGTGCGAAGCGCCGTGAGGTATTCGGCGAGTCGCATGAAGGGTGCGCTGCATCCTGCTAAGGGCGTTCGGCATCTTGTGCTTACTTCCTTGCGTACGGATGACAGCTGCGTATGACGTAATTTATTTTCTGGTGCTTTCACTTCCAGAGACAGTTGTAAGCTCTGTGTAACTGCCTCGAGGGTGTTTGACCAATTTAACACAACGTGCGATTATCCCCTTTGCGCGGAGTGAGGGTTCTCGACTCCGCACAACAAAATCTACTAGACCACCATTCATGCTTACCGCAAACAAAACCAAAGGCAAAGAAAAAAGCGGTAACCTGGTTGCCGAGCTCACGAAGTGAATCGGCGTGTTTTACAACATCGCTGCCAAGCGACGAAAACCCAACCCCGATGGCAAACACCGGGGGGGGGGGGGGGGGGGAC